CTTGGAGCCTAAATCCAGGCTTTATTCTGCTCCCTGCCACCGTGGACTACGTGCTGCTGCAGCACTGACGGCTTCAGCATTCCAGTCAGGCTTCTCTGCAAGTGACAAATACTGTAAATGCAAACCTGACCTAGCACACTCCCACAGAGGGGGGCCCGGAAATAAAAATGTATGGAATGATTAAAAGCAGCTTCGGCACAAGTGTCAAGTCTGAAGACTTTGATTTCTGCCTGTATTCCTGCAGCTACATCAGCAGATGGCAAACACCTGTTGACTTTTAGCGACATGCATCACGCCTAGGCAGTTGCTTTGCATATTCAGTATATGTGGTTTGCTAGCACGGGGCTTCTGATCAGACAAAAGTCGACTTCAGAAGACAAATTGGGGACAGAAGCTGAGAACAGGGTAAAGGTTCTGTCCTGTAGTTCCCCACAGGGCATAAGCAATTTTCAGCTCTAGTGAGCCATTTCTAGGAATACCAAAGTCTCAACTCCCAACAATACTCTGGCTCATTTATACACTTCCTCCCATGGCAGCAACTGACCTGTCTAATTTTTGTGTCTTTCCATGCAGTTTATTGAATAAGAGAGGCAGGAAAAATCCAGGGAAATACACAAAGCTGTTGCACATAAAGTCTATATTGAACGTATCAACAGATGTGGTTAAATATAGCCAATCTTCTTTCGAGAAAGTGATCTGTCACCACCTGTCACTTTCCCTTCCTTCATTCAAACATTTATGATTGATAGATGTATTGAAATGGCTGCTGTATTGCCAAAACCTTTTTTTTTTTACATTGTATACCAAAAAAACCGTGTTGAAATGGCTGCGGCGGTTTTTTTTACATTGTATACCAAAAAAACAACTTAAACCATCTTAGAGGCGGCCATCTTGCTCTTGCTCATGGCATTGCTTGAACACGTGGTCCCATATTTTCCAGAGTATAAGTCGGTCAGGAGTCACACCAGCCAGCTAGAGTGCCATCTAGTGGCTGTCAGTGTGAAAATAACAAACGTGAAATTATATATTTTTATACATAAGTCGCAAACCCAGCCAGAGTATAAAAAGAAGTGTGACTTACATTCCAGAAAATATGGTACTTTACCTACAGTATGAGGTGGTGCCTATGTGCTTAAACGACCTTCGAAGGGTTAATTGTTTTTTTAAAGGAACCAGTTGAATGAAATAGATGTGTGACGAGGCAACAAATTCAGCATTTGCTAACATTGTCAAACTTGCAAAGGAATTGCTTCAGTAACTGACTGAAATCCCATCTGGCTGCAGTCAAAGCACTGAGCCAGAGCCTTTGAAGTGGTAGTGGTCACAGTGGGTCTTCTTTTTTTCAATATGTAAATGCTAATGCTCTTCTCATAACCAATATTTACACACTAATCAACAAAACAGTTTGTTTCCTGTCAAGATAAGATGAAGAGGGGCAGTGGGATTCATACATCAGTGGTTGACTCTACCTGCTTTAGAAAAAACATCCATGGTCACTGAGCTATGGAGGAAAGGCAGGAGGTAGAGGAGTTAACAGTGACCATCAATACTGATGCACTTGGCTTCCCTAATCCACTTGTCTCTAGTGAGCCACAAGTGCATCCCATTGGTATTGTTGGTGTTTTTGAATACAAAATGGTGGACTTGGAGCATTTTAAGGGGATTAGGGGCAGCTTAGCTCCATGCCTAATGCAATGATTAGGGATTTCTGTTGTGGTAGATAAGTGAGTGTTCACTAGTTATCCAGCAACTCTGCTCAACTGCGTTTTAAGACCTTAAGCCTCAAATTGCAAAGCCTTGGACGAGACAGCTCTCGAGCCACGCTTGTATGACTCAAAGACTTCATTAGCCACGTTGCGATTTGTCTGGCTTCACATTCTGAAAGTCACAAAAATAATAGGACTGTTCAGATCCAAGGTATCAAAATTAAAAAAAGATGCTAAATTGTACAGACAATAAGTGAAAATTTAAAGGCATTGAGGTGATTATTTTGGGGTAGCGTAGCTGTTGGAGGAGCGCTGGATTTTTTTGGGGGGGGGCAAATTTGTAGATTTGTATTATTTATCTTTCTAGCTTTTCTCTTTTGTTCAGTAAAATAGCGTTGGAGGAGCGCTGAATTTAGCCGTTTTCGTCTTGAACGAGTCGTTTGAAACACTGAGTTGAGCTGCTCCTTCCTGATAATATTCATGTCACACTGAGATGAGACGACTCCCCCTCCACTCATGTAGAGTAGGAGCCCAAAAAAGTTGCATTAAGAGCACATCCGTACAAGACAGAGAAATAACACATTCTTTCTCATATCAAAAGCTCGTGAAGTGTCGAGCTGAGCAGTTTGTAAATCAAAGAAAGGTTTTCAATAACAGGCGTTTTCCATTGTTTAAGGTTATAGGAGGAACTGAAGGGTCGCACAGGGATCAAAAGAATTCTCTTGTGAGGTGTTAGAAGACTCACTTTAGCGCTAGTTAGAACTGAAGTATTTTTAAAGATAAAAAAATGTCTGCTCTATTTTTGTTATTCATTCCTTTTGAAGCTGCTACTGAACTCAGTTGTGCGGGGTAAGTGGCAGAAGAAACTTCTCTCGGCTGCTCTTTTCAGGGACCGTCTGCTTTCATGTGATACAGTGTTCCTTCATGTCTTCCTTCACTTTATGTTCGTGAATCTAAAAACTTCATCTCAACCTTCGCTTCCTTTATAAAGGAAGAATTCAGTGAAATAAACGCTGGTTCCTAATTGACCATGACTTTGTTAAATTTGTAAATGAACAAAAACAACGGATCAATCTGAGCAGTTTACATTAGTAAAAACAACTCTTGGATTTATATGGGGTATATACCAGTGGCATACAGCAGGGGTCCCCAACCCCAGGTCCGCGAACTGGTACTAATTCGTAGGTCATTTGTTACTGGGCCGCAGTGGAACACAATGAAAAATATACTTCATTTTATGAGAATCCAGTCATATTCATTTACTTTACTCATTTGAAGATAATCTGGCAGTTTCCGTGCTACTACTGGACCAGAGTACTGGCCGACCGGTCCTTGGTTCAAAAAAGGTGTACAGTGCATTTTTCACCTCGGCCTTCAATGACTGAGCGTGCAATTTTCACCTCGGCCTTCAATGACTGAGCAAATCCACATCTTAATGATGTCATTAAGCATCAATATTATGCAGAAATGTAGTATTACAAGTTGTTATATCAGCGATAAGTCATGTAGCCATAATAACGCCATTACTGAAGCAACAAATTTACAAAACTCAATTCAGCCACAGCTGTGACATAACGCACATCAATAATAACAAAATACATTACAATATTATTAAAAAGATAAGCATTTTACTCACCAAAACTCCTGCTAGTTGTACTCAAACGTCCATCCTCCTCTTTCCTTAGGATGAGTTCAGATTCTCCACGGTGAATTATCCATGCGTTCCAAGTCATTTTCTATCCTCATCCATGTTAATAATGAAAGTCCAGTCTCTCCCGTCGTATTTATTGCATATGTTTTAAATGGCTTTAGGTTGAAAATGTCCTCTCGACAGAAGCAGTGGACGTGGAGAAAACTTGAGTTTACAATCATGCAACTCGTTAGATGCAGCTGGGAACTCCAGGCCAGCGAGAAAGCCTTGGTGTGCCAGCTTGATGCCAAGTCAAACTCTGATTGGTTAAACAGTCAGTCTTATTGCCATTCAGTTAAGGCTCCCTGCTGCCACACTACTGGTTCTGAAGGCCTTAGATGAGATTTCATTCAACCTGGCAACACATGAAGCAGAAATATGATTGGATAAAAAAAAAAACGGAAAAAAAAACCCCAAGCATATGTGACAGGAAGTAGAGCAAATAAGATTAAAGTTGAGAATAGAATACTCTATACTGTATTATTCTATGAATATTCTATGAATATTCTTGCGGGCCAATGATTCTGCTTAGTCCAGCAGAGAAGTCCTTGCTGGTCCTGAAGGCATATGTTTTATAGTGACAGCAAAGGTACTTTAACATACATCACATCGACATTCATCGAGATAAAAATAGCTGCCTGGTCCTGCTATTTATTTTACCTCTTAGTGTTAGAAGTTCACGCAGTATTTAGAGAGAGAGTTATTGGCCGAATTAATCACGAAGGCTAATAAACCCATTAGTCCGGTGAGTAAACAACTATTTGTCTTCGCAAAAGTTAATTTGCCCTCAAGTTACCCAGAGTTTTGTCCAACTTTTTCAGGTAATTGTGTTGCCATATTTGGATGTGTCTTCTCCTTTGCGTCAATGATGTTTTGTCACTTGTTTACCTGTTTGGATTCAGCAACATCCTTTTCGATGTTGGTGGTTTGGATCACATTAAATGTCTAATGGGAACATGCGATTCAGGCGGTAATTATGTAAAAAGCAAAACCTTCAGTGGCAGATATCTGTGCTTTTAATTGGCGCTGTAATGGGGGTGCAATCACATTTGGCTGTTATTTCAAATACTCACAGACTGACTAAAAGCCGATGTTACATGAGGTCACGTAGCACAGAACTGATGATTTGGTAAAAAATGTGTTTTTTATGATCGCTACAGGTTTTATGTTTAAATCTGTGAATCTGTCAGTCCCAACGTGGATGAATATCCAATATGCTGATAAAAGCTGACAGGTAAACTGGCCACTTTGTGGACCCTATTTAGGGCAGTGGTGATCAACTGGTGGCCCGCGGGCCAAATTTGGCCCACAAAACTGTCCAATTTGGCCTGGACTGGATGCAAAATTGTGAGGCTCATAGAGAAAATAACAGGTGGCCTAAACTATTAACACAACTAAAAGGAAAATTCAATAACAAATTTTTAAAGAGAAAATAACAGGTGGCCTAAACTAAAAGGAAAATTCAATAACAAATTTAAATTAATAAAACAGTTCTTAAGGGCATATATCAATGCAAAAAAAAGAAGTTCCTTAAAAAAGACTAAAGCTACGACAATGACACACGAGTCTAATTGCAAATTCTCTCTTTTGTTGTGTCTCTGTAGGTGCCATCTGAGTAGGAGGCGGCAACAAGAGACCAAATGCCATGGATGTATTGAATTTCACCTACTGGAATGCCTCTGAAGGCAATGAGACAGAAGTGGTGGAAGAGAATGAAAGTCCCTACAAGACCGTGGAGGTGGTGTTCATCGTACTGGTGGCCGGGTCCCTCAGTTTGGTCACTGTTATTGGAAACATCCTGGTCATGCTGTCCATCAAAGTTAACAGAAACCTACAAACTGTCAACAACTATTTTCTATTCAGTCTTGCATGTGCTGACCTAATTATCGGACTCTGCTCCATGAACTTGTACACGGTCTACATCGTGATAGGCTACTGGCCCCTTGGGCCCGTGGTGTGCGACCTGTGGTTGGCCTTGGACTACGTTGTCAGCAATGCGTCTGTCATGAATCTCCTCATCATCAGCTTTGACAGATATTTCTGTGTCACTAAGCCCCTCAGCTACCCTGTCAAAAGGACCACCAAGATGGCAGGAATGATGATCGCCGCTGCCTGGGTCCTGTCCTTTATTCTCTGGGCGCCTGCCATTCTCTTCTGGCAGTTCATTGTTGGGGGACGGACAGTTCCTGAGAAGGAGTGTTACATCCAATTCTTCTCTAATGCTGCTGTCACTTTTGGCACGGCCATTGCCGCCTTTTACCTGCCAGTCATCATTATGATTCAGCTCTACTGGCAGATCTCCAGAGCGAGCAAGAGTCGAGTAAAGAAGGATAATCGCAAGCCATCAGGAGCCAACCCAGAACCACTGTCTCCTTGCCAGAGGATGAACAACACACCAATACCGAACAACAATAATGTACCAGGTGAGAACGCGGGGCATTCCCAAGGCCAGAACGCCGATGCAGGTGCCAACGAGCATGATGGGAAGCTGCAAAATGGTAAAGGACCTTCCTCAAACGCTGAGGCTGAAATTGAGGGTGACGCCAGGGAGAACTGTGCTGCGGGCGAAGAAAAGGAGAGCTCAAATGACTCGACGTCTGGCAGCGTTGCAGTATCCAACCAGAAGGATGACGAGGTGGCGCCGTCCACTGCCAACTCCAGCCTGGAGACGAGTCAACCGGTCCCACGTCAGCGGGCCAAGGCTGAGGCTTCCAAGCTGACCTGCATCAAGATTAAGACGAAATCTCCCAAGGGTGACTGTTACACGCCGTCCAACGCCACGGTGGAGATCGTACCAGCCACAGAGCGGCAGAATCACGTGGCAAGAAAGATTGTGAAGATGACCAAGCAGCCGCCGAACAAGAAGAAGAAAGCAGCGCCATCACGGGAGAAAAAAGTCACGCGCACCATTATGGCCATCCTGGTAGCGTTTGTAGCCACCTGGACACCTTACAACGTCATGGTGCTCATTAACACCTTCTGCTCCAGCTGCATCCCCAACACCGTGTGGACTATCGGTTACTGGCTGTGCTACATCAACAGCACCATCAATCCGGCCTGCTACGCTCTGTGCAACGTCACCTTTAAAAAGACTTTCAAACATCTCCTTCTGTGCCAATATAAAAATATAAGGTCTGCGAGATAAATACGGGCAACCTGGGAGGAAGAGCTCGAGTGCGAGTTCGTGTGAGTGTTTCTGAGCGTCATCCATGTATACATGTTTGTGTGCGAGCATGTTAAAGGATGCGAGAGCACATTTGGTGAGACTTTCCATCTCTTCAACATCAGTGTTCCAATTTCTCTCAATAATCCGTTTTAGCACTCAACGCACCTCTAAAATGATGCCAGGCGTGTAGAGCAGAGGGCACTTCAACATAGTCTGACAGATAAAAAAGAAAATGGAGGGTTGAAAAAGATCTATGCTGTTCAAAAATCTAGAAAAACAACCACATGGGAAAATAGGGCTGACTGAATTTAAAAACCTCAAACAGGTTGAAGTTCAGTGATAAGATACCTGTACATAATTGTACATATCATCGTATTCTTGGTTTGTGGGTGTGCGTGCTCCGGTGTGTGCGTGTGTGTTTGTACATCTCATGTGTGTTCTTCTGCCTGTGTGTTTTCTCAATCAAAACACTTCCAACCAGCAACATGTAGTTTAAAAGTAGAAGAACTGAAGATCTGGTCCCATAAAAACAACGTATAGTTTTCATCAAAGGTTTTTTATCCATCTGCCAATTTAGAGATCCAACTGGCAAATGAATCAGAAAAACAAACGTACGTGTTTATATTTGCATATTTAGATTTCATACATCAAGAAAGAAATCCTCAAAGAAAATCAATCTACATCTATAATAATTAACTCCAGTAGCTTTGATTTCAATCAGCGAGCATGGCCGTGATCATGAGGGCCAAAACGTGGAACTCCACGTGGTCATAAAATATTGTTTTGGTGCAGTACCATTTCTGGCCAACAGAGGTTCCTCTACAGGTTCCACGTGGTCATAAAATATTGTTTTGCCTTCTGAGTGGTTTAAGGTGCAGTACCATTTCTGGCCAACAGAGTGTTTTCAAAAGCATTGGTGAAAACCAACTCCTTCAAGTCAGTACTTATTCAATCTAATATATATATATGTATATTTGCTTCAACTCACATTTCCTTGGATTAAAGTTGTGCAGTTAGCTTAGCCTAGTTTAGTGGTTCAAAAAATGCGTTTTGATTTCACCTAAGACCATTTCCAGTCCACGAACCCCCTATTTAGTCCTGTGACTAGGGACTAACAACAATTTTATTTTTGTATTTAATTTCCTTTTTCCAGTTACAAAATGATTTAATTGGTCATTTAAGAATGATTATTTTTTCCTCCCTAAAATCCCTGGGATTTAATGAACAAATGAAATCTAAAGGAATCACACCATATACGCTCAGTAACAGAACAATAACACTCTGACTCAAAGAACATAACCGTGGAGATGTTGGGCTGTGCTTCAGTGGGTTCCAGCTCATATAAACCTTGACAGGATGTCTCTCTCTGTTTTATGGCGGCTATTAAGATTTTATGTTTGCTTGTCAAAGTTGTTCACAACTACGAGGACTCGACCTATAAAGTGGTTGAAACAGGTGGTCAAAGCTCAGAGTGGAGAAAAGGTATATATTGGTCATGTCTTCAAACATACTTCCCAGTAAAGTTAGGACACTTCCTCAGAATGCAAACAGTGCGTCATTAAATAGCTAACATTCAGTAGCTAAGTTTCAGCTGTTAAGATGGTTCACTAGCTAAGTTTCAGCTGTTAACGATAAGACGATAAGATTAGATAATTACTTTAGTTTCTTTTGGTCCATTACTGGTTTTGCACTGGTTTGTTTGGGTGTCAAACTCATGTTGGTTTAGGAGCCACGTACGGCCTAATAAGATGTCAAGTGGGCCGGACCAGTACAATCATAACATAACTCCCTATAAATAACAACAGGTCCATGTTTTCCTCTTTTTTCATTTAAAGAAGTACAAGTGGTTTAGAAAATCTTCACATTTAATGAAATCTTCACTTTACAAATCAACATAAAGATGTGTTTTTTTACTTTCAAAATTTATCAAGTGCCTTCACATTTAATGAAATCTTCACTTATCAAATCATCATAAACATCCTTTTTTTTTTTTTACTTTCAAAATTGATCAAGTGGACCAGATTTAACCACATAGCGGGCCATTTCTGGCCCGCCGGCCGTATGTTTGACACCCCTTGTCTAGATGTCTAAATTGCTTCTAAATTATAACATAGATATAAACGTTAACATTTTAAGTCCCTGACTGTGGAAATGTAGTCTTTATTGCATTGTTAGGAAGTGTATTAACTTCTGGAAGGAGCAGTAGTAGTTGGTATTTTGTTTGTGTTAAACTGAAATTTCCTTTGGTTGCTGGGCACGAACATAACTGTAATGGGAATCAGTGTGTGTGTGTGTGTGTGTGTGTGTGTGCACTCCAGGAGTGGAGTTTACTGCTGATCACAGGTATACCACCTAGTGATTCAATTAAGGGCTATATATTTGCGTCTCCACATTTTTGTAAATCATCCTAATCGTGTTGTGCGTTTCTCTCGCCATTAGTTTGTGTAAAATAATTTATGGAAACAACCACATTCTTAAAATAAAAAATAATCCATGGTTGTGCTTAGTGTAATTATGAGAAAATTCCAATTTACCGCGGGATACGTTCTGTACGTTCATGCGTGCCATTCATCGTTTCACACACACACAGACAATTCTGGGCCGCAGAAATGTACGCTCGCCTGTCAGAATGGTGGATTTGTTGGAGATTTGCCATCAGGAGGTTGAAACAGTTAGCGGTGGGGGGGCTTTTTCTGAAGAATGACGCCCCGTAGTGGAATTATTCTCCAAGGCTGATTTCTTTAGAGGGGGATGTGGGACGCGTCCTATAATGAGTCCTCACCATGAGGCTGATCAGATTATGGAACGCTGCGAAACACCTTGGATTCAGATTAAACACGGCCCATTACACGCTCAGCTTGTGCAGCTACCTCTGCCCCACTTTAGTGCTCGGCTTGGTCCCAGTCCTGTCAGAGTCTCTGGCTCGTATCAGGTCGTGCGCTGTAGATATGATGTATATACATTAGTTAAGATGACTGTATAATTCATCCTTCTTTCAACACGTCTTTGTTCCGCTCTCGCTCGAGGTTTCAGTGTTAATGCAGCTAGTGTTAATTATATATTGTTTTCTGCTGGTGAATTTAATGTGCACGTTTGTGGAAACGGTGGCTGTTCATCATTAATGGACGACGTATTCAAATGCTATGAAAGAGGGTCTGCCTATAAAAAATACACTTAAGGCAAGTAAGTAGGACACCTCTGCTGGTCCTCTTATGTCATTACAATAGGATGGGGTTAAAAAAACAAATAATAAAATATTTATGCATTTAGCAGACGCTTCTATTTAAAGCAACTTACAAGAGAAGGTTGACCAATCAAGTATGTGGTTCCTCTGGGAGTCGAACCCAGGACTCTTTTATATGCACACCGTACAGTGTCGGCGACGGTCGCGGACCAGAAACGTGCATAATAATAATGTCAAAGTCAACGTAATTTCTTTCTTTACCAAAACAGTATATGTCGCACGTTTGCGCTAATTACGCAAAAAAGTGAACGTTTGCTATGCTACAATGTAACCCATTCTATCTAAAGCATGGCTCACATGGACATGTTGTCGCGGCGTCTCCTTGATTTCCACCAACCCCTGTTGAACTCACATGGTCAGTCCAAATTCCATGTCCATCAGAGCAGAAATGGAGGCGTCCATCCTAATTTAGTAGCCAACCGTCCATCAGACATGATAAGTGGAGGCACATCTGTCTGATGTCTGTCACACATCCCGGTAGCGAGTGAAGAGCCTTTCACAGTATCTGATTAATCTCCTTTTCTGAGCTGTCATTTGAGTGATACCAGCAGTGGCGTGAGTGGCTCACAGCTCCAGCGACGGTCCAGCGGACCCCAGTTTGAGCTGCAGCTGTCTGTGTATTTGATGGAAGGTGATGGCATTTTATCACTCCCCGAAACAGGAGGGGAACGAGCTGTGATGCATCTTTATCTCCTCATTTACAGCAACAGGAGCAAAGTTCCCGTAAAAAAAAACAAAACAAAAGTCCTCCCTGCTCCTTACACTCCTGTTGCCAAGTTGTTGAAGAGATGAGAACAAAGTAGCGTTAGCTTATCAGGTGTTGCTCTTGTGTTGCAAACCAGAGAAGTGGGTGATACAGTACCAGAGGCAGGGGGCTTAGAATAGAACAACTGGCAGGCAACGAAAAAGAGAGCGGACACGGTGAAGATAGACAAATCTAATGTTTAGTAAAAACTTGAGTGTTACTATTTTGTTCACTTTGGTTTTGTTTTGGGCTAAAATTCAACATGGTTCAAACAGAGACTGTAAAATATGAAATACATTTTTATCAGCTAAAAGAATAGTTAACCTTTTTAATTGCCAGACATACTAGCTTCTCTGGGAGTTCGCTAAAGGCTAAAGCAGTGTGGCTGGGTTCTGTCTTTTACAGAGGAAAGTGTGACATTTATGAGAAATTAGTTAAAAAAATGTTAAGGTTTCCCTGCTTTCACTCTTGGGATGCACTTGATCGTAACCTCAACAACCATGTAAAGCCTTACAAGGAAAGTGAAAACAACATACTCACTTCTCTGGGGTAGGCTAAAGCCTAAAGCAGTGTGGCTGAGTTAGCAGTGATTAGCAAGTAAGAATGCTACTAGTGATACCTTTAATATTTTAGGAACCAGAAAACTGCTTAACTCAACTTTACTGTTTATGTATTTTAAAGAATATGAAGACGGCTTTAGCTTCCCTGCTGTTAGCGGAACATCATTAGCCAGTGGTCCAGGACTTGATAAAGGCTAAAGTCGTGTGGGAGGGAAAAACTAAGCACATATTCACTGGGATTTAAAACACTTGAGCAACACACCATTCACCAAAAAGAATCGTCCCTGTTCGAAGGCTTTCGTGACGTTTTTCTACTATGAGGAGTTTTAAGCTAAGCATTTAGCTGTATCTATTTGCCAAGTGGTTCTTGGATCTTAACTTTTTTTTATTCTATTCTATTCATTTATTTGAACAGTTCTTGCGCTTGTGGTTTGTATTGACGGTTGTTGTGGTTTTTCGAGAGACAGAATCCACAGCGTGAGGATCATGCCTGTTCCGCAGGTGGACCATGTTTGGAAAAGTACAATAATTCTGGGCAGGTCAGCCAAGGGTTTGCTACAGGAATTTCACAGTCCCAGACCAAACCGCCTCTGGGTGTAAACACAGCGTGACACTGTGCTGCTCACCATCCCTGCGGCACTTTTATTGCGTCTCATTCTCCTGCAAACAGTGTCCTCATCTTTTCTCACTTTTTATACGATCGTAACACTCACACTTTACAAGTCAATTCAGCCGCGTATATACCGCCCATATACCGGACATATATCCTGATGTTCATCTGTCTAATGTGTGCACAGTGCAACACAGTCTCCATTGTAATCCACGGATCATCGCGTGCCGTCAGAGCCAGCTGGGCTCCCCTTCATACGGCTTAAAGTCAAAGGGCTACGCTCCTTCTACGGAGGAACATTTGACATTTAAGAGAAATTCGTTCAAAAATGTTAAGGTTTCCCTGCTTTCACTCTCGGGATGCACTCGATCGTAACCTCAACGATCATGTGCAGCCTTACAAGGAAAGTGAAAACAGACTCGTGAGAGTGCAAGAATTTCACTTGATGACGGAAAACCTATTTTTGAATATATATATATCGCCAGATTGTACGGAGCAGTTTGCAGTGCCTTAGCCAGAGTGACTTCAACAGATTGCTCCTTTATCCCTCGACCCTGAGTGAGTGTTGTGTTATGTATGTGTGCAGCCAAGCCTTTCTTAACTACCGTATTTTCCGGACTATAAGTCGCTCCGGAGTATAAGTTGCACCAGTCAGCTAGAGTGCCCTCTAGTGGCTGTCAGTGTGAAAATAACAAACGTGAAATTAAACCGAGCCAAAAAAATTTGAAGAAAAGTGCGACTTATAGTCCAGACCAGCCAAAAAAAAAAAAAGAAAAAGTGTGACTTATAGTCCAGAAAATCAATACTTTTATAATTATTCTTTTGGTTAAAGAGTGTTTTTTCACTACTCTGAGCTCAGATCACTGTTACTTCCGTCCTAACGACCATCGTCTGATCACAGACTAAAAGCTAACGTAAGTAGGAGTCGACTCAGTTCGATTGTTGTTGGGTGTTTTTTTTTTTTCAAAAGTACTTTCTCTTGGCAGTTCAATATTAGCCCGCAGACACAACAAATGAGGCTGTTTCATCCATCAAATACCATCGGTTCAGCTGATGTTTCAAAGTTGGTAAAAAGTAAACCAAAAGTTACTTTTAGTGAAGTTAAAATGCTTTTTTAAAGACGCAGAGTGAAAACACAGCAAAGGTTTAAACCAATCGGAATGAAGGAAGTTTTGGAATTTGGAAATCTGGACCAGGACGCTGTACAGGGAGTCCTAGATTTACGTCGGAGTTCCTACGGTGCTACATAACTCGATTTTCACCGTGAGTCAGAACACACACACTGTACATAAGTACCTATGTCACTCACCTGCGCTAACACAGCGCTAACACCATCATCTAAAACACTAAAAACGTCAGTCTACGTGGGTTTCCAGTCATCCAGGTCATCTTATCCATAAATAGTTACATCGAGGAAAACTGGACAGAGTAGGTAAATGAAAGGAAAACGTTCTAAAAAAACAACCCAAATGAAAGAAAGCAAAATGTAGCACAATCTCTGCTCGCCAACCAGTTCGCACCGGAACTATTGGCCAAGGTTTAACCTCATATGTAGGGAATGATGGAACAAGACTTTCTTAATACTTTAACCTCATATGTAGGGAATGATAAATGAAATGAAATGGTAACATAACCACAAAACGCCGTAGATCGAAGACATCGTAAACCAAGGACCTCCTGTACTGACTTCAAATTCTGTTTTCTGGGCCTGAATTTTGGAATCACGACTGCACCTTTTTCTACACTCTTTTTACAAAAAGAAATCCAGTGTTCGAAACAGTTCGTCATGACTCACGAGTTCCAGCTCCACAAAATGTGAATAATTTACATCGCTGAATACTTCAAAAAACAGCCAGTAGGTGTATTTGTAGTTCAGAAAAATGCTGGATTTTTATGGTATTCTTTGTCATTATTTATTCTAATAGAGAGGTTGGGTATGATTTAGATACAGTCGCGTATCATTTGTTCAACACATGGGTGACAAATGTGTGTATTTACGTTAGATCTTTCTTCTTTCGTGACTGCCTGTGTTCATTTCACTGACATTTCTGTGTGGGTGCGTAAATCTGCCCGTGTGCCGTGTTGGTTTTTGTTGAGTTCCGTCAGCCCGGACGATCCATCACAGCACACATCAGGGAAGATGCACGCAGCGTGATCGTCCGTCCCGCCACCATCACTCCTTCCTCATCACAAGTTCATCATCGAGTTCCAACAGCAACAAATCTTCCAAAGACTCCCTGAGACGCAGTTTCATACAAATACGCTGAGAAATTGTACATTTTCTATCACGTTTTCTAAAACTGTTTTTCTTTCCTCACTGTAAAAAGGACAAAAATATCCTCCGAAAATGACGTGTACAGCCACATATTTTGTTTTAAATGTTATAAAACAAATGTTATTTACAATGTTACCAGATACGAATATTCAGATAATATGTAAAGTCTATTGTGTGCATTTTTCTAAAAGGAACGGTTCGCTTAGCGACGGAATTCTGCATCACGAATTGAGTGAGTGAAGAAAAGCTTCAGGGATTCCTTGGAGACTCCTGCAGCCGCGGGGGGTGAATTAGGAGCAAATCCTGGAAACGTGGGAGAACGGGAAGGGGAAAAAAAGTTTGAGGATTTCACCTATAAATTAACAAAGCTTCAGGCTGTGGATTATTTCATTTTAATGTAAATTTGTACATCCAGGAGAAAGAGGTTTATTTTTCCTTTCTGCGTGTGAAACCGGAAACACAGTGTTGTTGTTCAATGACTGCACCCAAATGAACCGTGAATCTAGAGTACGAGCAGGAAAGAAAAGAAAAACCACCGGCCTGCTGCAAGTGTTCTAATGTAAATATATATAAATATATATATATATATTTAAAAGATGAAGCCCATTTTTAATTTGCTTATGTATTTAGATGTTTATTGTGTATTCCCCGGCTTGTGGCTTGTGGCTTCTCCTGCAGTAGGAACGGGATAAATTTAAAAGTCTATTGTTTGCATTGTATACATCTATATGATAATAGCATTCTATGTCATCCGGATGACGGTGCATTTGAATTGTACATACTGTACACGTGTTTTAACAGCTACTATTTGAATGTCCCCCTCCTTGTCCTCACGGATGGTCCCCCCCCCCCCCCCCCCCCCCGCTATGATACGTTCTGTACAGTGACAGTAGTACTGATTATTTTTCCCCCCACTTTTTAATGCATTCTCGATTATTTGTCCCAGACAATGAACCCGAGTGTGTTACTGTCACCGGCCACTGACCATGCTGTAACATGAGCTGCATTAAAGTGGTGACATTATCGTGCCATATTCCCCCAGAATGGAATTCCAATAAAAATATATGAAATGTGTTTGACATGTAGGCTTTATTCCCACACTCATACATGTACACGGGCTCTCAACTTTACGTAACTTGAATTTCGTCGTAAGTCAGAAATCGCATACAGCCATGTATGTAGAGATGTAATGTAAAACCTATGTCACACACCTACGCTATCACAGTGGTGTCAAACATATGGCCCGTGGGCCAAAACCGACCCAATGGGTGGGTTCATCTGGCCCACTTGCAGAATTTTGAAAGTAAAAAAAAAAGCACAAACACTTCATGTTCATGATGTTTTGTCAAATTGTATTTCATTAATATGAATATTTTGTAATATTTGTACTAATTTGTGGGAAAACAGGGGAAATATGGACTTAGGTTTAAGATCTCTGGTCCATCACAGAAGCACAAATAGAGATAAACAACTTGTGACACTAATGCTGACCCCTAGTGGTTAGGTCTGGAAACTAAATGCAGCTGCTAATAATTGGTAAATGTAGCGTTTTCTCCCGGTTGTTACTGCACGTTTCTCTTGCAAATGAACGTCAATCCACAATCACATACCGTAGTATTTTAGACTACAACTAACTTTCAGTAAAAAAAAAGAAAACAAAGTTTTCTTCAAAGGCTCTGTCTCAGTGGTTCTTAAGAAAGGGTCGTCACTTTAAAATCCACTTCAACAGTCAAGAGTTGTTTAACGAACCTGAAATTGATGAACAGGAGTCTGTGGCTGGCCGGCCTTGGATGTTCTAACACAGTTCTCACAGTGAGTCTGCTGGGTTCAAAAAAGGATCTCGGGGACTGGAGGGAAAATAAAGTTAAAACAATTTTGGGGGGAAAAAAGTATATATTCCAAAGGAGAAAAGAGCTCAAACTCAAAGAGGCACAGATCTGGCCGAAGCATCAATACTGGGATAAAGCAGGTCTTTGTTTCACTGACAAGTGATTGAAGCCAGGTGTGCAGAGGAAGGAGCAGCAGGAGGAGGAGGAGCAGCAGGAGACCTCAATGCCACAGCCATGAAACAGGCACACACTTTCTAATCTAATTAAATGAAGCACACCTGTGGGTTTTATCTCTGGGACGATTGTCCTGGTGGGATTAACTCATCTCATGTTTTTAAATTGTTCTGCTTCTGTGTTCGAGAAGAAACAAAAGGGTCTAGACCAGGCATGGGCAAACTAGGGCCCGAGGGCCGGTGGCGGCTCGTTTGGCTTTTTAATCCGGCAAAATTCTATTATTCATTTATATTATTGTTTTACATCTGCCTTTTCCCTGCAATGACCACCTTTCCCCAATAGATGGTGTAGAAAATGCTAAAAATCATTTTAGGAGCCACTGTGGCCCGCCAATCAAAAGTTTACCCACACCTTGTCCCGCCAATCAAAAGTTTACCCACACCTGGTCTTGAGTGCTTGAGCAGTAGGACTTCAGTCTACTGCCAGAAGATTCCGGGTTCGATACCACCTAGTCCTGTGTCATTTTAACCTGGTTTAAAAACTTAAACTACTGCAGGACTTTTCAAATTGTTGAAAACTTGAATTTCAGATGATTAAGGGTTTATTAATGACCTGGTTTAAAAACAACTACTGCAGGACTTTTCAAATTTTTGAAAACCTCAATTTCAGATGATTAAGGGTTTATTAATACATCTTAATGAAACGTGTAGTGAATCCATAATGTTCCTGTTATTGATCAGGACAGAACAGTAATGTTTACCAGGTAAGTTGACAGTAGTAGTAAATCGAACATGTGTCTCTGTGGTTGTGGAGGCAGCAGTAAACGTACCTACCAAGCAGCGAAGTGCTCCAGGTGTGGAACGCTTGCACCATAGCAGAATCTGAACTTTAGGGCGCAAACGTGTCTGGATGCGGTACGTTGGCCCACCCGCTGTTCTGGTCAACTTTGGACCACGAGGTAAAAGACAACTGTCATTTCTTGTAATACATTTTTATTTTTGTGGTGATGTTAAATCCATATAAGGGCCATAACTGTAAGAAATCACATTTTTACAGCTGGAGACAGAGAGAAAAGTCAGTGTGTGTGTGTTTGTGTGTGTGTGTTTAAACGGGGGGACATCAGAGCAGCAGAAGGAAAACAAACTACAAACAGCAACACTTTAAAAACACACAGATTAACCGTTTAATACAGCCTGGAGATACAATTAACTTCTGTATTGTTTATTCTTAATAGCAGGACAGGTATTATACCACAGAGTAAAAATAGTTACATTTTACCTAGATGTGTGTGTGTGTGTGGGGGGGATGAAAACACACAACTTTGTTTTGTTCTAATCAAGATGATTAGATGTAGAAACAAAAACCTCATCAAGTCACTGCAGGAAACAAAGACTTATCCAAATTAGAATGAGCTACAAAACACATCCTATCCAATTTGGTTTATTTTTTGTTTAGAAAATACTCTTAGAAAAACATCGTTAGGTGAAACACTAGAAAACACATATTCGTTATCGGTCACTACCACATGAGAGGAATTCATTTCTCCGATTACAGCATAAATCTTGAAGCTACAAAAAAGGGATAAAAGTCGAACGGATGACTAAAATTCACATCTCCACTGGGTTTGTCAAAGATCTGTTGGCTCCTAGAGTCAACCTACAGGACGTACGAGGAGGAACCGTGTTCACACAGGGCAGTGGACGTCTTCTCCACACGTCTTCCGTCTCGTCGAGGTACGCGACCTCCTCAGTTCATTGGGGTGCGCTCTCGTTTCTTACTCTCTTTCTTCATCTTCTTTGCATCTGGGAGATAAAGAAGAGACAGGCAAGTGTTAGGCGACATTCGCAATTCAGACGTTGTTGCTCAATTCCGGTTTTCAGCTCAGTTCTGACCACAGCAGACGAATACTGTATGTCATCATTCGTCGCTATACGCAGATGATGCTTTTGTTTACGTTCGCAACTTGTACGCCATACATTGGATTGTGTTACGTTTTTTTCCTTTCGTTTGTGTTGGGTTTTTTTTGGAACTTTTTTTGTCAGACTCTTCTGATGCAATATATCATTAAAGTTGATACATGCTAAGGACTGACTCTTCAGGGGATGAGACCGCAAAGTTGGACTGTCTGCTCTCTGACTGGAAGACAACCACAGTCAGAGTGAAAGATTACCGCTGCAAGAGCTGGAAGTCTGAATCTGTCTCTCCTTCTTCCCTCTGGCCATTGATTTGGTGATGTCCTGTCTGCTACACCAAATGTTTTATCAACTTCCTGCAACAGTGGATCAATGCCTGGCAGTTACAGCAGACGTCACAGTCCACAGATTTCTTTCCAGCCTCTCTGCTCCGGTGCACAGGATGACGGAATGACCTGAAGCCAGAATTTATATTTATAGAAACCAAATGTCCACAGATCGGTATTGAATGTGCAGTGACGGAGGCCATTATTAGAAAACCACATATGGTCATTTTAGAATTTTGTTATTTTTTTATTTAGTATTACAGCATTAGCATGTTTTCTGAAATACCACTGCTAACCACCAGGAGCTGGCTCTGTTTGAAGCGAACACTTCTATATGTATATGTTCACTTAATATTAAGCTGGTAAATTAAGTTAAGCTGAGTTTTACTATAAAAAGGTGGCATGTCCCACAACATTTGGTTATATTTATTAAAAACAAAAACAAAACAAAATGCCAATTGAAATGGAAATTATCAGACTTCTTTTTTTAAATGAAGTAAATTCCCAAATGGCCCATAGACCAGAGTCCATGGACTGGGACATGGTGACCCTGGTATTAGAAAACATGTCTCTCATGAATGGCCAACAATTTCAACATTTTCAAATTCACTTGAAATCAACAGTGTTACTATTTAAAAAGTAATGTATTTACAGGCATTGATTCTTATGTCCACCTCTGTACCTATACCATCTAATGAGGGACTGGTCAAGTCGGAAATGCCAAAGCTGTTTCAGTCTGAGTTGGTTCGATCGTCCTGTAGTTGCATAATTTGACATCTGCTGTTTGTGATTTCCTGTCTGGTATGGCTGACAAAAAAAAAAAATAGCAACGTCTTCCTCCCTCGCAGCTTCACAAACATCGACCTCTGATGATTCAGCTGGTGTTGCACTGGGGTAGTGTGTGTGTGTCTGTTGGTGTGTTTCTGTGTGTGTGTGTTTTTGTATAGCACTGATGTATATATCAAAATGTTAGGATCAAAACTTTCATGGATGACACATCTCCATGTCCTCCCACTGTACGAAAATAAAACCAATGTATATGTCAGGGAGCTGCTGCTGCCATCTTGTGCTGCTGTTGTCATTTAAAGATATAGTCTTCGCAGAACGGCTACTGGAGTTGAGCCAGTGATTTGAAGTTCAAGCGAATTCACACAATCCAGACAGTCTGGGCTGTCAATCAAAATATACTTCGTATAGTACTTTTTCTCAGTGTCTTGACCACTAGAGTTTCTCAGACTATTTTTACCATTCATGTCTTTTAACGTATGTTTACAGGCGATGTAGCTCTTGTTAGCACCTAACACCTAAGTATTTGTACTCACAAACAGATAATGAGCAGCATTACTAGCACAGCATTAGCAGAAATAGTATTGGAAATAAAAGCTGCGATACACAGTTGGTAGTGATTCTGAGAAGAAAAGGCAGAAAAATTTTAAATAAGTGTTGATGAGCACACAGATGTAAACAGATGTTCGTGACTGTAATTAGAGCAGTTAGCTGACGCTAACGCGTGTTAGCAGAAAACATCGAGCGTTGGCAGACAATGGGATGTTGGGGATGTAAGCAGACGATGTTGGTTGTTTTCGACTCTTTGCAAATATCACCAGGTGAAAATTAAAATGATCCCATACATTTATTTAAATACTGTGTTGGAGGTTAAACTAAGAGGGGAATTTAATGAGCTAATTGAGTTACTTTTCCAGCAAACTAATCAAATGCCTGTATTAATAAAATAAAAGACAGTCCTAATATTTGAATCCTAAATTAATGGGTGCTTTTTTCCACAGAAGGACAAGTCTGTGAGAGAATCAGATCCTCTAATGAATTCCTGACGAGTGGTGACGAGGTGTGCTTAGTGAATGAGGTTTCGCCTGAGTTGTGGACATCTGCTCTTGTCATCTGAATTGTCAACTTCACCGGGGCGTCAAGGCTGACGCGCGACACGCTGTCGGCCATGCAAATGAGGAAACTGCTCTTCCCTTTGAGTGTTTGCTTGTTTTCATTTGTGAAAAGTCTTTTTTTCCTTCACTCGCACCCTCTGTGTTGTGTTTTGTCAGCATATCCTTCTCCCTGGAGTGAGGAGAGATGAAGGACAGTTTTTCTGTCTTTCTGGGTTTTTTTTGTTCAGGACTCTGTGGTTGTCCTATCAGCATCCATCCGTACTTTTCTGCAGGATCTGCACATCACCTGACACTTTTCACTCCCCTTTTTGTTGCTGACAACAGAGTCATCATTGCTCCGTTGGCGTTTTTGTCTGATCAAATCCGCCCCGGAATAAAAACCCAGCAAATTTTGAAACTACGCTACAAACTGGAATGGGAGTGGAAACGGTTGTCAATCAAACTGAAAAAGGCCGAATAACATTTTTTTCTCCATTTTTCTTGCAGCAAAAATCCATCATAACTCAAACCACTTGGAGCAGTAAACATCCTGTCTGGACAGAGTAGGCTCCAAAACTGCAATTACAGACAAAAACACATAGAGAAGTACTTTTCATTCTAACCAGGACTCGAAATACTGCTCTCAACAAACTATTTAGTCATTTTTGTCAAATCTTGCCTAATGCTCGCTGTCAGGTTCTTGGCAGAGTTTCTTCTGACACAGCTGAGCAACATTCGCTCTCAGGAGGAAGTACTCCTAAAATAGAGACCTATATTTTCATAAAACTAACTGTTGTGAAACTTTATTTTTTCCAACACTCATTAAATGACCGTAATTGTGGAAATAAGACTTGTTTGTTAACTTTTTAGAGAGGACTCAACTCTTGAGCGTGAAAGACAATATCTGTATTATAACAAAGTCAAGGAATATTAGCGCTGTGTCACAACATAGTCTTGTCCTATGACAGTAAAGTCATCACTGTCTCTTCTCTGTCTTTGATAGCAGCAGGCATAAAAAAATGGTGCAGCCGAAACAGAGAAAATAAATCAGTCCACAGGCATTTGTTTGCTAGAAGTCACCAAATGTTTCTTGTTTTCCAATCAGCTTCATCCGATTCTTCCTCCTGGAAGGCTCTACAATTACTGCCATGTTATTTGCACTACTTTCATGAACTCTGCAGTCCCTGCCCACTATTCCTTCTCTATGACTCATCAGATTATTTCCTTATGGACACAGTCTTTGGTTCTTTAATCCTGGGTCAACAAAGCTGCACGTTTAGAGGTTGTCCTGAAATGTTTTGCTAAGTTTGGTTTCATTCAGGTTTTCTCATCCTGAAAGGTTTTGCTAAGTTTGGTTTCATTCAGGTAAAAAATCCCAATAACAATATTTATGCGTTTATTTATACGACATCCTCGACCTACAGCGTTTCGTGGTTACGTCGCCATCTCTCGTCGATGACCCCCTGTGTTTGTCCAATAAAAGAAATGAGACCTAATTCCCTGTGGATACAAAGTTGCCAGGTCCGTCCATCACAGCCTGGTGTCTAACCTCAACTCATCTCTTGCTCCTAAACACACCAGCTTCTGTTTTCCACCTCGAGAGGAGCCAAGAACCTTCAGGTTCCTCGACAGGCATTCATTACGTTTCACCTCTGTCACTCTTTGTTCTTTCGTCAACTCTGCGGGGTCTGTAAAAACACCTGATCTGGAGAGCAGAAACCAGCAATGCTGAGTCTTGGATCTGTCCCAAGGTGCCTTCATGCATTGTTTTCTTAAAAAAAATGCAATGACAAATGCAGCCTCCATCACAGCAACCCGCCTTAGTCAGGGACAGCGACCCTTTCAACCTGAGGTGAGACTGTTTTTTTGAATTGCAGATTTGGCCAGCAGTGTCTCTGCTCCCAGTTTGAGGTTAGACGGTCTCCTCGCGCTTCATCTTCCACACTCCGGAGGAATATATGTTCTGTATGCAGTTATTTTAAAAAATGCTTTGATCCTGCAGCTTTCTCCGCGACTCACTTCATTGTGCACTCACAGCAGCCCGGACTTCCTTTTCACCAGTAGTGTCCTCTGCGTGCCACAGCCCACCTCCCAACATGACAGACATGAAAAAAAAAAATCACACCTTGCTCAGATTGTAGGTCTTTCTTTTCTCCACTGCCTTCCCTAATCTACACCTCTGTCATCCTGGCTCTTCTTCTTCTTCTTCTGCTCTCAGTTCCGGCAGCTCTGTGACCTGTCACTTTACATCCATGTGATGGCGCCTTCATTAGAGCAGGTGTTTACAGGTTTGCAGCACCGCTTACTAAACATGTATAAATGTGTTTCCGGCTGCGCTTACGTATGTGATCGTTTACACAGTTCCACAGGTGACATTCCTGACCTACGTCGATGCAGCTGCCTAATGTAACCCCTGCAGGATAAAAACAGAAGAATTCATGTTTGTTTGTTTTGTTTACAGTACGTAGCACAACGTGAGGTCGGATGAGTAACTTATGTAGGTGGGAAGATGGGTGTGATTGATGTCAAGACGGCTGTCAATCTCACCAAGTGCAACATTAGACACATTGATCTCAACTAGTGCTGGGACTTTAGAAAGAACCAATTAAAAAGTATGTATTTAATCGCACATTTCTTTGTTTTCCTAAATTCTTGCCAAACAGTAACACGTTTCAGATTACGAGACATTTCCTGAACCAACTGCTGCTGCTTTTTCTGACACAACCGTCTCAATACAACTGCACACGTTTATTTATTGACCGAGACGATGTGACAGTCCGCTGCACTTCTGCTCGCTCCGTTGACTATAAATCCACCAATACGTCTGGCAGACGGTGAGGGCTGTCAAACTCCTTCCATAAACGTCCTATAAAAAGTGGTCGATAATGTAAAAGACTCAGACTGACGTCACAAACGGCCGCACACAAAAACACCAGGGTTTACGTCGTCCTATTATTGTAATCTGTCGCTTCATTCAGCTGCAGTGCTTTGATGTAGCTGTAGTGAGGTTAATCAAACTGTTTGTGCGGACGTGTGTTATCAGGGATGACGGAGCCACAGTTGACTACCGTTGGCAGCCTTTCTGCACTCATTATAATCCCCTTTGGACAGTGGGGGTTACAGTAGGTCGATCACTTGCTTGTTTACTCAACTAACAACAGTCTTTGGAACACACCGAGAGCATACTCCATGTGGCATTCACACCGACATCTCCAGGCAGGTGTTAATGGATTCCACACACTCGTGCCATGTTCTCCTGTCGTTTCAGTGCCTAAGATTTCCGATTACTGCCCGTTCCTGACTCGTACAACTTTGACATGACAGGAAAGCAGTAAAAGCATGTAATTACGCCTGAATAGTGAGTTAACCTTTTCGCCTCTGCCTTAAAACTGTCATTCACCACTTCAACTGTGCCTGGAGTATTACCCCTGTGATGGTGACTTGAATGTGAATGAGAGCCGCAGCTCATACTGTCTCACATTTAATGTATATGTGTAATGTGTATTTTTTTTTATTTACCACATTCTTCTCATGAATATCTGGTCAATATTTCCTCAAAGCAAATGTTAAACTAAAACTGACATTTGGTTCATTTTCTTTCCTTCTTTGATCATTTTAAAAGCATAAGTAACTTTCTCAGCAGGATGAAGAGCAGGTCAGCTTCACAAACTGAAACAACAAACTGCCAGAGAAGCCCTTCAGCCATAATCAAATAAGAAACGCAACTAATCAAAGTTCCCCAGGAGCTGCCTCAGTAATTTGACAATATGAGAAATTACTGGAATAATCGCGCCTCCTCCTAAATCATCATCTGGGCAGAAAGTCTAATGATTGATCCCAGTCCAGTCTAATGACAATTGTGTGTAAATAAACAACATCGGTAACTCTTTCTTTTTCTCACTCGAATGCAACTCAGATTTAGATTTTTCCAAACGCTTGACTCTGTCTTCGTGGATTGCATTAGCTTCAGGTTTTTATTGGCCTGACACAAGGTTCACTTTAGGACAGTGTGATTGATTTCCTTTAATAAATGTTATTGTGCTGATGCGTTTGCCGGGAGGAGCTTTTCATTCTCTGAATACACAAACCACGGGAGCATGAGCTACATTTACTGCAACTGTGTTTGTTTGCTTTGTGTTGATCGCAACGCTGCATATTGTGATAGCAATATTAAATTTGAAAAAATTAAAAATGTAAATCAGCAAAGATGGAGGGAATAATAACGACCATCCCTGGTATACATAACGCTAAAACCTTCTTAACAAACACTATTGGAGTAATATATCCCATATATATATATCTCTTTTCAAATGTTTTTTTTGTTTAAAAAAAGTTTAAATTTATGGATAAAAACAAATAAATAAAAGAAGTTGGAGACAATTTCTTACGATGTTCTGGTGATCAAAATCTGAAACATTTTTCTGGAAACTTTTGACTTGCCCTGGTATTAAGGATACACGCACAATATTCTATGAGAATCAGTGCAACAGACACTTTTCCCACTTTTATATCTTTCCCAGATGACATCCTTTTGTTTGAATGCACAGAGCTGGCTACCATCTTTTTCACTCAGACACTGTGATTCATCAACTGGCCTCCAGGGTTTTTCCGGCTGCTGCTCACACTCTCAACATGTCAAGCTAAAGCAATACTTTATCCTGCGATCATTTATCCTTCGCCCCTTACCCTGCAGCTTGGTCTTGGGGATTTTCCCGCAGGGCTTGGTGGCCGTGACGGTGGCGGCGCAGGTCGCGTCCATGAGCGCCCGTTTCAGTACGCCCGTCCTGTTCTTCTTGCCTGTGGCCAGATCGCACTCTCCCCACACCTGGAATTCGTACTTGCATTCACCTGCAGCACAGCAAGAGATGAGACACTTGATTAAAAGTTTTTGTTACAACCAAGAGGAAAACCTGGTGAAAAGGCAACATTTTTAGTTTCAATGCTTCTTTCAGTAAATGGCAATCAGTTCCGAGGGGGTCGAGTCTCGAGCTCTGAATTACTTTTTGATGAGTGGGTATATTTACTTAGTTATTAACTCTCGTATTAAAGTGTCTGACATCGACAGAGTCGGTTCCGCCGAGAAAACCATGTCGCTGCACTCCCTTATTAACGACAATGTGAAAGTGCTGATAGCTGTTTGCCAACAGGAGCAGATGGCGCTTCATTTATTGATCTTATATCTCCTATAGGATGGAACGCTCCAACAGATGAATGTAATCAAAAACAGCCCGGCTGCTGTCGAGAGCTGGGAAATGGCAAAAACGGATACAATCTTTGAAAGCAGACGGTAGTGAAAGTACTTGCATCAGCAATCCAAATAAATTTCACGTAGGTGCTTCCATTTGATATGGAATTTAATCCATCTTAGACGTCACCTCGAGAGGACGCGAGATTGCTCTATACAACCACACCGTCTGTAGCAAATGAACGTATGGAAATGTGTATTCAGGAAAAGTGTGTCTATGTGTGCACGTCCAGGTGTGTATCCTCATATTTTCCATCAAGCTCCTCACAGGCCGTGACTTGCGTCCTCTCACGTGAGAGTGTTGGACGCTCTCTCACTGTCTCAAGAGAAGGGACGGAGAGCACTGAGAGGGAGTAACAGTTCTATTGCTGTAAAAATCCTACAGAGACTTCGTGAGAATGCAGTGGTAAACCCTTCAACTCCAAACCTATAACTTAGCTCCAAGAGGGAACAAGAAAGAACAAGACAGATTCCTGGCCTCTTGCATATCAAACCAGATTAGAAAAGGAGAAAAAAGTCTTCCATCCCTTCAAAGGAAAGGTTTCCCAAATTCTCGCTAAGCTTTTATAACAAAGCAAGTCCTTACCTCTACTCCCCTGTAGAGGGAGCCATAAATATATCATGAAAACCCGGGTCCCTCAGTTACGAGCTTATTGTTTTTATTTAAAATCAATCCGAACATTTTCCACAGTGAAGTGTCTGACCTCTTTGTTGTGCCGTACACCTCCAGTAATATGAATGCATAACCAAAAAAAAACTGATAACATACTTTCAACAGTATCCTTACGAAATTACTGTAGGTATGCAATTAAGTTACAATTTAAGTAATGTGTGCTAGTCTCAGAATTGTTTATTTTTGAAGAATAAGGAACCTCAGCAGATTATAGTAACACTGAGAAGACTTGTCAAAACTGTTGGGGGTGCCTGATGATATGGCTAACAAGCTAAACATAGCCAAGAAGGTTGAAATCACGTTTCACGTCCATTTGCCTAACAGAACTCTTCAATTCAATGACACATTTTCCCTACTTCTGAAAGACAATCTACAGATGTGATAACCTTAACTCCACGTTCTAATGTAGCATACATTACAAGCTGCCTTAGCTAGAGTTTTATTGGCAGATTTATCACCTAAAATAGACTCTTATCTGTTAGCAAGCCCATCGTGTTTGTAACGAATCTCCTGTTACTTTCTACCCAACTCTCTGCTTACTTTTGACTCGAACCTCTAAACTTAGAAAATGTTTAGATTTAAAACGACTCCGACCTCAAATTTCGTGCATCAGTTTTTTTCCGAAGAAAGGTTGAAGCGTTTTGCAGCTACACTGTCGTTCACAAAGGAGAAACAGGGGTAAGATAAATTATTGTGTATGTTTAACACGTCAACAACTACAGTTTGATTAATGCAAACATATTTTTGTGAATTCAGCACATCCATCACTCTGCCTCGCTGTTGCCTGCTCTCATCCATTAGTTTCAGAATGAGGTCTTTCTTCTTCCAACTCATTTTCTGAACTTTTTGGAGCATGAATCCAATGATTTGACTTGGACTTCATTTGTCACTGAATTATTATTTCCGTGGTTGATTATATCAGACATCATAAGTAATAGAACGCATCCTTCCTGACCCACCTCACCTCACCTGCCTGGGGACCAAAACAAATGCTGCATTGACATTGTGATAATTGGACATTAACTGCCATAAAAAACTGTGTGAACCTAGACAGTTAGTCACTTACTTTTCATGTACTTTCAATATGCAAAAAACATTTTTAGGAA